CAGAAGGGCAAGGCAGGGGACCTGCCTGCTGCATCACTGGGGGGAACAGCCAAGAGAGGGGATTGCACAGGATGTGCCTGGGAGCTGCTCCAAACTCAGCTCGGTGGGCAACCTTTCCAACATGCAAGGGAGAGACCAGGCCTCCTGCAAAACACCAGAGCACTCATGTTTCTAAACAGGAATTCTGAAAGCAAAAATAAAAAGCTTATGTCTACAGCTGGTACACATATGCAGAAGGAAACCATCTCCAGTGGAGCCAGATCTCTGTTTGGCTTCCAACCTCACAAATGTGGCCATCACCTTTGAACACAAACCTCTGGAATCTACAGAGAAATACTGAGGGAGCCGGGAGGAGTACTAAAGCATGCAGAATACTTCACTTGGGCTTTCCATTTTCCTGAATATGGCAAGAAAAGAGCCAACATTAAAGCACTCTTAACAACTCTAAAATCCTAACTTTCAGTCTGTTTGCCAGAGGTTTTCTTTGAACTGGAGATTTTCTAAGTGTTCCCAGACTGTGTAAAGTCTAACTCATAACATTCAAATATTTAAAAAAACAAAGGGCAAAAGCAAACAGAGAAACAACAACAAACTTAGAGGTGATCCATGACATCTCATCACATCAGCAATACTCTGTCAAAACAGCATCCCAGGAAACGTCATCCTGGATCCAAGGCAGGGGTCGAAAGATTGGAACTTCATTTCTTGTACTATAATATCTTGTATTCCCTGCACTGTTCTGCATCTCTTTACAAAGACAGCCATGCCATGAAAAATAAGAGAGAGGAAAAAGCTAACCTGATTACACAGCTTTTCCACAATTTACTGGAACTAGATGTTCTCTGCTGTAAGATTTAAAAATACAGACTTCCAAAGGGTCCCTCACAGCACAAAAGCTGTTACTCACTGCCCCCATCTCAATTACAACCCCAGTCAGCCCTCTTACTCGTAAACCCAAACCTATCTAGAAATTATCAGCAGACTGATTTCTTGCCATCCTCTGGAGCACCACAAACAGGCCACAGCTTGAACAAGGACACCGGTTGTCATGAAGCACCAGTCATGTCCCCACTCTCCCCTTTCTGTGGCATCCTGCAGCTCAAGGTTTCCAGTCATTGTGCTGGAAAGAAGTCAGGCTGGTAGAGGGTGTCACAGACCATCTCCTGGCTCATGGCAGGATGAGAAACCACAGACTTTCTTGTGCAGCAAAGACTTCTCATCTGTTACATCATCTTTCAGTCACAGGGGACTGATCTCAACACCACTAGTCATCTTTATGAACCCTGTGCTGACATGGCTGAATGACAACACAAAGTCACCACTCATTGCTGCCACTAAAGGTTTATGTGGACTGGGCAAGACTGCAGCTGCATTAACTGTCCTGACTAGCTGGCCATGCTCAGGGCTGCAAGGAGAGTCAATTCTCCCAAATACTCAGGGATACTGAGCATGAAAGAGGAACAAGGATCACCTCTGTTCACACCTTGCACCTAATTCCACCCATGTATTGCCACCAAGTATGATTATAATTTACTAACCAGCCTAGACCCCATAAAAAAGTTAAATCAAAATTCAGCTTGGGGATTAAAAGAGGAGTTGATTAACTCATTCAACCCCATGCAAAGCAAGGGGAAGATATTTTAGTAACTTTTTCAGCAGTGTAAACTGTCTGGTACACCTATAGCACCTGGAAGGGGAAGACAAAAACAGCACCCTGGAATTACACCCTTGTCTGCCGTTTTGAAAGAGAAAGGGACACTTCCCAGCTAGCCACAACACTTCTCATCTTTCATCACACAAGGAACAGAGGAGGAGAGAGATTGTTGCAAGGGTACTTTCTCTTCCATCTGTGCAGCAGTCAGTATTTTCTGACAAGAAGCAAATACAGCTGCATCAACAACTGCATTTCAGTGCAGTTTCACTAGTGACTTAGGCTAATATAACTTTCTTTTTTTGTCTTCTCCCCTGTGTTAGGCATTATTTTTACCCAGACCAGCAAGCTGATCCAAATGATTCAATCATCCAAGTCAGCAAACAGAGCACGAGGTAGTTCCTTGCTAGTATTTATACAGTTAAACCAGCAGTACCTTTGAGGCCCTTTACTTCCAAAGCTTACAAACCTATCCAAATACTTCCAGGTGACATTCCTGGCCAGTAGCATTTGACTTTTGCCATTTATGGAACAGAGAGAGCTAAAACCCAGCAGTTCCTGGTAGACCTTTTCCTCCCACGCCACGATTAGCTGAAATATGTCCCAGAAGCAGATAGCAGCCATGATCCGATTTGTCCCAATCCCAACTCAAGCAGCTTTACACCACCCTCCTAACAAGATCAGCACTGGCCAAACACCATTTATCCAGCCTGATCAAAGATGGATTAGATAATGAAACCCTAACTGCATAAGCTGTCTGAGCATGCTGGCCTGAGACAGCAGAAAACAAGAAGCCCAGTAAATCTAAGGGCTACTCAAAGCTTTCAGGCACCCCCAGCACCAAGGTCTTAATAACCAGCTACTGTCTTATCTTCCTATAGCCTAGTTTTGATATTTCATGCTAATAGACCCCCAAAAATCTACTAGTTTTACAGCTACATTAGTAATTCTACAGCTGAATTATTTATTTTAGCATTACACACTGTGTTTATAGCCTGAGCCATCGGTAGGTACAGGTTATTCAAAGAAGAACTGGTGGTGGGCATAGCATTCCATGAATCCTTGCTATCAGCCAAGAGACACAAGGTCACCAAGTTTACACAGCAACAACCCATGGCTCTAGAACAGGAAGTAGAAAATTGACAGGATCTCCAGGAAAAACAAGGTACAACGGCTGCAGGTCTTATTTCCAGCTTTCAGAAAGCCTCTAGTACACAGGCGAGGGAGGAAAAAAAAACATCAAAGAATAGGCTCTTTATTCCTCTTGTAAGCATTACATACAGTTAAACACAGAGGATTTACTAAAAAGAAGCTGTTATTCTAAAATAAGGTACTTCAAAAGAAGGTACTATCTGAACAGAAATCCTCATGAAGGGCAATCTTGTGTTTTGTCTTTTAAGGAAAAAGATACCAAATTTCCCAAACATTAAAGAACACATTTTTCCTACCTCTGATGTTATTGGTAAGTTTGGCTTCTAATTTGATACTTCTTGCTTGCAAACATGAGAGATTCTCCAAATATATAAACTACACCTTTTAAAACTAAAAAAAGTCAAGATAAACTTCTGGACTTAGAATTGTTTGGTTAGAAAGGACCTTAAAGATCACCTAGTTCAAATGGTGATATGTATTTACACATATATATGTTTATTTTCCTCTTTTATAATAAAAGAATCAAATTTTTTTCCATATACATACATAAGGAAAGATTAAATTAAGAATGCCAAATAAGTACAATATGGGTGTCCTAATCTGAAGAACAGCTACAATGACTACAGACACACTAAAAAACTGGGCTCTACTAGCTGCACCTCACCACATTTCTCCGCTGTTTGGTACAGAAATAAACCCTAGCTTTCTGCTAATCAATTCCACAATCAATCCCTACTATCATGACCACCAGCATTACACACACTGCTTCACACACACACTGCTGTAGCCCCATGGTTGAATGCTGCAATCTCACCATCTTGCATTATTCACTGAACAGACAAGACACTTTTCAATGTAAATATAGGGGGGAGTCTTTTATCTGTAGAGTAATTGTACTAAGTTTGCATTAAAAAAAAAACAAACAAACAAAAAAACCCAAAACAAGAATAAAAATACAAAAAAAAAAACCCCAGACTTTTGCTAAACCAGCCCAAGTCCCTTCCTGGGCAATTTTCAGTTGATTTACCCAGGTTTATATCAAAAACAGACAGTTAAACCACTATACGCAAGGTAAACTGGTGCATCTTCTGTAACTACACAGGATCTCAGCCTCAGTTCAACTCTGAAGAGCTGGAAGGATTTCATGTCACCTTGTGCACTCATTCATAACTCGTATCAAGACACGCCGTATAAACACTCCGATGCTGAGCATCTTTCTCCTCGCAACTGTACACATTGTCTGAGTCACACCTGACACCTACGTGTGGGAGAACACACAACTTCAAGGGATAAAAGAGCACTGCACGATTTTCACTGGCTCCTGGGAGAGCACAAGCACTTGGGTACGAGGCTCCAGCAAGCGCTCAGGCCACACCACCACACTTGGGAAAACCTGATGCTGTGGGGTGGAGAGACCACCCTGAAAGGCTGAACGTCAGAACCACAAACAAAACCTTCCTGCCGCAAGCTGCTTAAAAAATAAATAATTCTTGAGCATGAAAACTGGGGACAGCCTGGGAAACAAAAAGGGAAAAGTGTTGGCCAGCATTTGGCATCTTGATGAGAAGCGCTATGGAAAGAATAGGATGTTCCCTTTGGAAAGCCAGGAGCGCTTACCAACCCCAGAAAAGGTGAAAAGAGAAACAAGCTCAGATGAATAAATCACGCTGCTTCCAAAGAGCTCTGATATTCTCATCACGAGAAGCAGAGAAGGCCAGTGTGACTGCCATAATAAAACAACCCTCCACAACACCCAGACAAAGGGAGGCAGAAACACCTTGGCAGCATCACCCCGCAAACACAAAGGCCAACGCACCTGAAACAAGCCATGTTTTGGGGACGACCAAACCGCAATGGCAGGAGACGACAGAAACGTGGGACTCTGAACCAAGCCAGAAGACGCCCCACTACTCTGCTTTCCCCCTTCCCAAGCAGCACCTGGGATTTCTCCTGGTGGCGTACAAGCCCCAAGCGCCACGGGTAAACCCCGCCGGGCCCGGAGCGCTGCCGGTGCCCCGCAGCCGACCCCGACCCCGCGGCCTGCCGTAGCCGCCGGGCTCGGCCCGGGCAGCCCGCGGGGAAAGGGCCGCGCGGCCGCGCGCAACGCGCCCAACCCCGCAAACCCAAACCAAACGCGGCCCGGCCCGGCCGAGCCCCGGGGAGGGAGAACCGGGGACGGCCCGGCCCTGCCCGCTACCTGCATGCCGCCGCCGTCGGCCTCCGCCTCCGTCCGCAGCCGCTTGCTGTGGCCGCCCTCCGCGCCGTCCCCGCCGGGCATGGGCTGCTCCAGCTCCGGCTCCCGCTTCACGCCGCGGGCGGACCCCGCGCCGCCGCCGGCCAGGAGCTGCGGCTGTGGCTGCTGCTGCTGCGGGGGCTGGCCGCCCTCCGCCATCCGCGCCGCCGGAGCCCCGGCCGCCCCCCGCCCCGATCGCCCCGCTCTGTCACCGCGGCGCCCGGCGCTGCCGGAGGAGCGGGAGCACTGGGAGCAGCGGGAGGAGAAGGAGGAGGGCGGCGAGCCCCGCGCCGCGACCGGAGCAGCAGCGGGCGCGCCGGGCTCCGACCCACCGGAGCGCCTCGGTCACGGGCTCGGCGGCGGCTGGGGAGGGGCCGGAGCCCCTCGGCAATCTCCGGAAACGCCGCCGGAGCAGCGCGACCCCCGCTCGGAAACCTTCGGCGGCGGCGCCGGGCGGNCCGCTCCGCGCCCCGCTCCGGCCGCGCCCGGCCCGCGCGTCGGGCCGCCACCGCCCTCGGGGGCCCACGGCGGTCACGTTGGCCCTAGGAGTGCGGGGCACGCAGCCCTCGGGCACAGCCGGGTGCCCCGCCACGGGCCGGCTTGATCCCGGCCCCGCTGGCGCAGTTGCCTTTCGGAGCGAGGTTTCCGCAGCGCTTCCATAAGGAGCTGAGGCGAATGTGGGGTGGTGGGCACTGGCTTTAGGGGGATCCAGCAGTAGGGATCCCTGTATCCCGGCTCGGCGCAGCCTCGCATCGCCGGTGCGTTGTGCTCCTTCCCGCCTCTCCTGGGCCTCCTCCCGCACCTCGCTCCAGGGCTCGCCTCGCAGCCCCAGAGCACATCTGGCTTCTGGAGAAAGGGGCTGCGCTGGTTTCCTGTCCCTCATGGCCTCCGTGGGTTTCTCCTGCACTTACATACATATAAATAGATCTCCGCATTTTTTCTGCTGCATATGACTTCCAACCAGATGGAGACACCAGTCTGCAAGGACCCAAAGCCTGTTCATCGGCGCTTTTGTGTATCTCCATGTTTTTGATCTTGAGGAACAAATTTGGGATCCTCAAGCAAAACATAAATTTCATTTTATTATTCAGCTGCTATCTAGTAGCACTAAGGACAATATCTGCTCTAGAATGAGGAAGGCATAGGCAGCCTGCGTTGTCCTGAACGTAGTCTGGAAGCCATGGCAACTTGATGGAGAACTAATCCACAGATCATAATACAAATCTGTGGTTGGCTTGATTGTGGGATGGGAATGACACTCCTGCCTGCCAACAATTTGGAGAAAAAGAAAGAAACTAAAAATGCAGTTGGTCGGTGTGAGGAAGCCTTTTTGACTTCTCGAATATTACCATGTGTAACAAAGGCTGGGGAGCAGCTAGATTATCTTAGTGTTCCATATCCCCTGTACATGCTACATCTGTTGATCTTCATGAAATTACAGAGCCTTTAGTTTTGAGTGACAGTTACCATACATGACTCCAGTCTTCCTTTACACCACATTTTTCCTCATCCAAAAATAGTTTTCAGGGCCACATAGAAAGCTATTTTAAGTGGTATGTTTTCTGCTGAGGTGCCAGCTTGTCTCCTCCAGTGACAGGGGGAAATCTCTTTTTTTCAAAATGATTGTAAATCCCCACGGAGTGGCAGGCACCCAGAAGACAATTACATGCAGCTTTTGTCTGCTCACCCACCAAGGGTAAACACATGTCTCATTCATCTTGACTGGGTTTGATAAAATGAGCCAGACTGTCAAACAACACTGAAGGAACGTGTTCAGTCCATTCTTGGCTTGGAAAGAAGCTGAAATTCTCATGGCTGGGATGGTGCTCATACAGAGAGGAGCAGCGTTTCTGTATTTCTCTTTCCCCCCCTGCTTTTGACAAGGGATTCCACATGAATGGTCCGGGTTGAGGTATTGCCTGTGAGGAGCTGCAGAAGGCTTCAACCTTCAGACCAGTTAGGGATAAACAGTTTTGTGATAAATCTTGGGAGCACTCCTCTCACTGTGGTAACTGAACGTCTGTCTGACACTTCCCTTGGGGATATCAAAGAAAGGAGTTGCCTTCTGGTGCCCAGCTTCCATTTTCTCTTCTCCTAACCCCATTTCCAGCATCTCCTGCCATGCAGGTGCCAAAGCTGCTGCCAGTTCTCCCTTGCATCCTGTGTGCACATGGTCTGTGCTGCAGAGCAGCTCCTGGCAGTGCCATGGGCACATGCCTTGGTGAGGCATTTCCAGCTGGCTATGGTATGCAGCCTGCCAGGGGAGCACCCCAGGTGCCAAAGCTGCTGCCAGTTCTCCCTTGCATCCTGTGTGCACATGGTCTCTGCTGCAGAGCAGCTCCTGGCAGAGCTGGCAGTGCCATGGGCACATCCCTTGGTGAGGCATTTCCAGCTGGCTGTGGTATGCAGCCTGCCAGGGGAGCACCCTGAGTTATGGTGCAGGTGAAAAGAGCTGAGGGGGGTCCTGTGCCCTCCCACCAAAGGACCTGCAGCTGCCACCACCATGCTCTGTGCCATTGTGAGCTTTCTGACACTGCTGCCCCGTTACTGCATACTGCATTTATCCAGAGCTTTCCATTTCCTCTTAAAATAAGATTAATTAATTTATCTTCATGGTATGTTTGTGGGATAGGTATTATCTCCATTTAACAGATGGGACATGAGGCATTCCCGAAGTCACAAAAAAGCTTTTGAGCTGAGACACAATCTTAATCCGTTGATTTCCTTTCACACAACCCAGCTGCCTTTTAGGTATTTGTATGTGACATCTGAGACATACTAAATAGACAGCTGACTCCTCTGTTAACCCTTCCACTGCTGCACAGCACTCTTGCCAAAGGCTCCAACGTGCTGTGATTTCACGGGCGAGTTTGCAGAGCGCTCACCAGTGCTTTGTCTTTGACAGATCAAAGAGACACAACCCTGAGATATGGTACCCTTGCAGAGAGCTCCCAGAAGCTGGCATGAACAGTATATCTTTCCTGAACAGATTCATACAATTTTAGAATAAAATTTTTGTGGTGGTTTCCTCCCCTCAGAAGGATACCTTCTGAACAGATTCCTTGGAGAAACATGCTGGTGCTCCCGCTGGGCTGGAAATCAGGTGACATCAGGATGCCGGGTGTGAAACATCTATGGAAGTACAGAGGGCTGGGTCCCAGAAGGTGTTGAATGGAGCAGAGGCAGTGACTCATGAAGGTTCTAAGGCACAGGCATGAAGAGAGGCACAAACTCAGTTATTAGCCTTTGGCTCTAAGGCATAGAAATCATTCAGAGACACTTCAAAGCAAATGTCTTCACCACTGCAACTGAGAACTTTTTCTTGTGCTTCCATCATCTACACACCATGCCTCACCCTGCTGACCAGCTCCCTCTTGCCCTTTCAGCCTCCAGCAGCTTTGTTCCTCTCCTTCATGGAGGATTTTGTCTCTCTGCTAAGTGGGTCAGGTGGGGTCTAGCACCTTGCCCAACCCTGCTCATTCCTGCTGTTTCGGTCGAGTCAGACAAACCTCTGAAGCCAAATGCTCTTCCTCCTCACAGCAGTGCTCCCACAGGTGATGAAGTGCCGCCAAGGTAAAGTTTCAGCCTGGACTTTGGTCCTGGTTTTGCAGGAAGCAGCGATGGAGCTTTCAGTAGTAACTACTGTGGGTAAATGTTTCTTCTTCCTTATCTCAGGCCAGGAATTTGCTACAAAATTTTACCAGCAGAAGCTGCCTTTTCTTGTAACCAATTAGCACACAGCTGAAAATACATAACCTCAGTCAGCAAAATCCAAAGACCTTGTCACCTGGCCCAAGCCGTGTGCCAGGAGGATGCCAGTGCCCAAGCAGGGGCACGGTGCCAACATCAATATGTCACTGTGACGCAAAGGTGCTGGCAGCTGTCAGTCACTGGCCAGCACCCACAATGCACCCGCTCTTTTCCCAGTGCCACCTCTTGCAATGAGGACACCTGGCTTCAGGAAACGCCTCCAAGCACCTGGGCACTCCAGCAAGGCAGCAGTGTCAGCAGCTGGGAATCCACCAGAGAGCTCAGAGCAAAGCCTTCCTGACTCATTTTCCTGTTTCCTGCTAACATCGCTGCAGCGATTTATGGTTGCTGTTTGCTTGGGCTGTGGTTCTGTGGGGCATCAGGATGTGCAGCAGGTGTGGCACTTCAGGTGTCCCAATGCTGCTGAAGCAGGATGGCACCTGCAGCACAGATGCAGTTACCTGCATGGATGCAATTAGCATAAAAATGCCATCTGCTTGCATTGCTTATGCCTGGGGGATGGGGAATAAAGTAGGTCCTTCCAACATGAAACGGCATCCCTCTGTATCCTAAAAATGTGTGATAGCAAAAAGGTGTGTGAAGAGCACATCTGGGAGATGAAAGGTCTCTTGTTTTCCTGTTGAGATAGCAGGGCTGACTGGATAAATAAGACTGAGATAATGACCAACATAAACAGTGTGCACCACAGAGGTACCACAGGGCACCTCCCTTCAAATACCTGGCACTTATTCCTCTTGGCTGCCTGTCACGGGTGAACCAGAGGCTGCTGGAGGCTGGAGTCCACATCAAGGGGCCAGCAGTGGCTGCTGTTGCTGCAGTGCTCCAGTGGCCTGGCTGCACATCTCTGGCCGTGCCTCTGGAGCACCTCAGGGCTGTGCCACCCTCTCCTCTCTCAGACACGAGTCTGCAGCAGCCTGACATATCCAGCTTACACGGGCACACAGACAAAGAGAGAATACCAATCATTATTTGCAACTGCGCATTTCCAAATAGGCTGGAGGCCGCACAGCTTGAGAAGGGCAAATGCCCCGCTGGAGGCAACATTCATTCCTGGTGTAACAGGCAGATAGAGCAAAGGACAAAGCAAAACATTCTCTGTGGTGGCTGGGCACATCGTGGAACGGAACGGGGTGGGGGTGGGGGGTTATCACGTAACTCCTGCTCGTTTTCAGTGAAGAACCATGTTTATAGGGCCCTTTAGCTACAACTCAATTTACTACGTGGCTGATCTCTGGAGTCGAGGCTGATTCTTCCTCCCTAATTGGTTTATTGAAAAGCTTCTGAAAGTGCATTCTTACAGACAAAATGCCAAATTAAGCTGGTCCTTAACAGGACCCACCGTGCAAGAGGAGCCATCTCCCAGCACAGAGAATAGCTTGCAGATATTTTCTGCAGCGATCTCGGTATCACCTTTCACTCCTGTGACCGATTCAGGGATAAAGAAAGGGTGTGTGGTTGAAGCTGGCCCACACCCTGATGTTTCCCAGCTGTTCAAGCCTTCCCTTGAGACATCCGCCATCTGTGCAAATTACAACAGCATGAATTACGCCTCGGGATCCAAGCCACAGAAGTGTTTCCAGGATTGCTCCAGCTTTTCACTGCTCCAAACATTTTGCAGGTCCCTCCTCTGCTGCTGCTAAAGTTTTAGCTATTTGTGTCTGCCACGCTCACAGTT